TGGAGTTTAATGCTCATTGTGAAAGTGGAGAGTGATTGTTTTTTGAGGGGTTACTTTTCATTCCAAATTATGTATGCCATGGTTGAATAGGAAACTCTGTGCTAAAATGGGTTTCTAAATGTTTGGGGTTATGTTTTTGAAATAAGTTTATTCTGCTCACCAAGGCTGCATTTATTTGATCAAAAATACTAAAAAAAAAACAGTAATGTTGTGAAATACTAGTACAATTTAAAATACCTGCTTTCTGTTTTAAAATATTTTAAAATGTGAAGGGAAATCTGAATTTACTCCAGTCTTTAGTGTCACATGATCCTTCAGAAATCATTTTAATATGTTGATTTGATATTCAAGAAACATTTCTTGATTTCAATTCTTAACTTTTCTTTTACATTTACATTTAATTATTTAGCAGACACTTTTATCCAAAGCGACTTACAAATGATTATTCTTGATTATCAATGTTGAAAACAGTATTTTGTTTGGAAAGTAACTTTCATAACATTATGTTTTTAATGTCTCTTTTGATCAGTGTAATGTGCCCTGCCCTTGCTGAATAAAAGTATTGATTTCTTAATAAAAAATAAAAAAATCGCACTGACCCTAAAATTTTGAACAGTAGTGTGATGTGTAAGTATGATTTGTGTATGATATGTATGATTTGGCATCTGTGATGCCTGGCCAAAGCAAGTAGTATGGAACCCACATAAAACCATGCTTTTCCATTACATTAGATGGCGCTGCTCAACTACTTATATTCTGCTTAGGGATGTTTGTTTTTCACAGGAATTTTGGCGTCACTCAAATTTTATTTTATTTTTTTAAAGAACAGTCAGTAACAGACACTGTAGAAAAATCTGAATGAAACCTGTTTTCAATAAAAATGACTGTGGGTTGCTCTTTCTCTGGCATGAGTGATTCTTACATAGAGCAAAGGGTTTAGATCATGAGATATCAAATGAATCAGGACAGTTCTGGAAGAACACATTTTTGTGTAAGAAGCCAGAACATGCTTTTTCTCCTTTCTTATACACAAACACACTCTCTTCCACCACACATTAGTTTAACTCACACAGCTACAGTATAAAGAAAGATGAGAGAACAGAGTAAGAGAGTTTTTGGCTCTGTTCTGCTTCTCACGGAAAAGGAGATTATCATGTTATTCTGTGTTTTGGATGACGATGACGGTCTCTGCTTTTATATCCAACAGATACAGGGCTGTAAGATGATTTTTGTACTTCCAGTTGCCTATTTCAGTTGTCTGCAATTTGTGCTGGAATCATTGCAGTTACTGCCATAAACAGAGTAGAGAGATTACAGAGGGCTATGAAGAGAAAGAATGAAAATGTGTCAAAGGGAAGGGCTGTCAGAAACAAAAAAGCAGGAAGCTGGTGGATATGTCTCTCTGATTTCCCTCTCTGTTTCTGTGAACTACTGCACAGAGAGACAGATAGAGCTGCATGCTTTTCTCGTGAGCTGTTTTCCTGGAGGCAGGAGAGGCTGTAGCCTCAGGCCATCTGTATAATACATGAGCTAACACACACACATTTACATATACACTTACACACTCATATTGCTTGACTGCTCGCAAACACATAAAAAACACACACAAAATCATGCTGTGCAGACATACCGACATTCTTATATTCATACCTAACAAGTGAACTGAGTGTTTGTTAACTTGAAAATTAAGTTAACTGAGCCGTAAATGTCTTGTTACTAATCGCTCAGTGAAGTCCTGATGATACTGAATTTTATAGCTATGGCATGCATATATTCTGGCATTCTGATCAAATTGAAACATGAGAGATGTTTGACATGAGAGTTGATCAAAACATCATTGAGATATAGACACACTCTCTCATACACACAGACAGACATTTCTCTTGCTCTTGTTCATAGCCGCAGGTTGAAAATGCTGCAGTGTTTATGATCAAAGATGTCATTCAGCATTGAGGCACAGAAGGCGAGCGGACGTGCTCCTCCATCATCTTAATCATAGTGATGTTTCTTTCCTCCATCCTCATTCAAAGTGAAAAGTTTCCATCTTTTGTACTGTCATATCTTGATGCTTCTCTGTTTTCGGGTTATGAAATGTTTAAAACAAAGAAATGTTGTGATGTAAAATGAAGAAGTAATATTTCTGATTCTGCTCTATTTCTAGGTCATAAAGTAAATTTGTGACATTGATCATGTGAACTTCAGATGTTCTTGCATTCATTGAAGCACAAGATGCTCTTTGTATTATTCTTAAATCATGCTGGAGATCATGCATCAGCAGTTGGATTTACATAATCAGCTCAAGTGCATACTGTCATTAAAGCATTAATAATAATAATCATTTGAAAAGTTAAACTGCAAAAACTGTTTATTGTTTTTGTTGTTGGTAATAACTTAATAACTTGTTGTTGTTGTTGTTGTTGTTTAATTCATAATAATTATAGTTGTCGTTTAAAAATAATAAAAAAGCAGGAAGCTGGTGGATATGTCTCTCTGATTTCCCTCTCTGTTTCTGTGAACTACTGCACAGAGAGACAGATAGAGCTGCATGCTTTTCTCGTGAGCTGTTTTCCTGGAGGCAGGAGAGGCTGTAGCCTCAGGCCATCTGTATAATACATGAGCTAACACACACACATTTACATATACACTTACACACTCATATTGCTTGACTGCTCGCAAACACATAAAAAACACACACAAAATCATGCTGTACAGACATACCGACATTCTTATATTCATACATAACAAGTGAACTGAGTGTTTGTTAACTTGAAAATTAAGTTAACTGAGCCGTAAATGTCTTGTTACTAATCGCTCAGTGAAGTCCTGATGATACTGAATTTTATAGCTATGGCATGCATATATTCTGGCATTCTGATCAAATTGAAACATGAGAGATGTTTGACATGAGAGTTGATCAAAACATCATTGAGATATAGACACACTCTCTCATACACACAGACAGACATTTCTCTTGCTCTTGTTCATAGCCGCAGGTTGAAAATGCTGCAGTGTTTATGATCAAAGACGTCATTCAGCATTGAGGCACAGAAGGCGAGCGGACGTGCTCCTCCATCATCTTAATCATAGTGATGTTTCTTTCCTCCATCCTCATTCAAAGTGAAAAGTTTCCATCTTTTGTACTGTCATATCTTGATGCTTCTCTGTTTTCGGGTTATGAAATGTTTAAAACGAAGAAATGTTGTGATGTAAAATGAAGAAGTAATATTTCTGATTCTGCTCTATTTCTAGGTCATAAAGTAAATTTGTGACATTGATCATGTGAACTTCAGATGTTCTTGCATTCATTGAAGCACAAGATGCTCTTTGTATTATTCTTAAATCATGCTGGAGATCATGCATCAGCAGTTGGATTTACATAATCAGCTCAAGTGCATACTGTCATTAAAGCATTAATAATAATAATCATTTGAAAAGTTAAACTGCAAAAACTGTTTATTGTTTTTGTTGTTGGTAATAACTTAATAACTTGTTGTTGTTGTTGTTGTTGTTTAATTCATAATAATTATAGTTGTCGTTTAAAAATAATAGCAATAATTTTTATTAAAAATTGTATTATCAGCATAATCTGAAACTGGGAAATAGATTAATAATAATAATATAATAATAATAATAATTTAATCATTTTCATTACAAAATGTATTATCAGCATAATAATTTGAAAAGTTAAGCTGCAAAAACAGTTGTTGTTTTTGTTGTTAGTAATTGTTGTTGTTTATGAATAATAACAATAATTTGTCATTTTTATTACAAATTGTATTATCAGCATAATTTAAAACTGGGAAATAGATTAATAATAATAATAATGCTTTATTATCATTATTATTCTAATAACAACTATTAGCAAAAACAGTTGTTGTTTTTGTTGTTAGTAATTGTTGTTGTTTATGAATAATAACAATAATTTGTCATTTTTATTACAAATTGTATTATCAGCATAATTTAAAACTGGGAAATAGATTAATAATAATAATAATAATGCTTTATTATCATTATTATTCTAATAACAACTATTATTGTTGTTGTTATTATTATTACAGTTTTCGATTATTATCCTAATATTCCAATTAGTAACAAAAGTTATTATATTAAATGAGAAATAATAAAAAATATTATTACTGAGAACTAACATCTAGGACGTGAGGGAGTTTAGAGAAAGGGGATAACTAATCCCCCACTTGAAAATTCACAGCATCAGCAATGTCTCTTCCCAATAGTCAGAACCAGTTACCCCAGCCACACTCCAACAGAAGCGTGTGCGTGTGTGTGAGAAAGAGAGAGAGAATGCGCTGTATTTATGAGATCGCTAAATCTTCCTGTCCTGACCAGCAGCATGTTACTATGGCAACAGCCACTTGGTTCATTCTCTTTACAGAGCAGTTTAACTTGTAGAGTGAATGCAGGTAAATCAGGCCACGTTTTGCCATTCATCTCAATTTCAGAGTCTCACAGAGCCGCTAGAAGCATCAGCATATCCCCTAAATTTCTTCATTTTCTGCATTTGAAATGCTGAAACACACTGATTTGTTTAATTTAATCATACGCATACACATGCACAGTGATTTGTAGCTCTTGGAGGACAACTGAATGATTTATGAAGATGCAGGTGTAAGGGATATTCTTACTAAAAGGTCAGGTTTTGACCTTTTCTTGAAATGAGCTTAGGGTTACAGAGCTATGAATGCCATATAACAAGTTGCATCATAAATTACAAGCCTAATAGATACTGTTCTGGTCTCCTAAAAACACAAAGGCTGCAGCTTCAGTCTCATGTCAGAATGAATTATATTGAGTTACTGAGATTACAATCCTGCTTCATTCTGCCCTTGTGCAGAGTTACTTTCACTCCAAGTAATGCACTTTTGAAAAAATTAAAGATGCTATCTGCCATTTCACATTACACTTTTTTGCTTTTTCATATTGCTTGAGAACATTGAGCTAAATGGCACTAAATGCATCTCTCTCACTTTGCTCCACATCAGTAAACTGTATCCAGCGGATGAGACGGACTCCACCATTGGATGAGCTGCAGCCTCCACCCTATCAGGATGAGGATGGGTCACCACGCATGTCGTGCACACCGTCTGACCTGGGCGATGCCAAATGTGACCTTTCCCAGGGGAGCGAGAGCCCCAGACACAGCTATGAAAAATGTCCAAGTGAGGTCAGCGGAGCACAGGAAACAGAGAGTTTCCTTAAGGGCTATGAAGAAGATGTACCCAGTGACAGCACTGCTGTACTCAGCCCAGAGGTGTGTGTTTCAGCAAAACAATCTGTATATGCAAAAATCACTTACTGCAAAGATGAAAGTTCCTCGTTACCAGGGGTAGAAATGAACATATGTACAGTGCCTTGCGAAAGTATTCAACCCCCTTCATTTTTTTCACGTTTTGTTGTGTTGCAACCTTGTTAAACTGCTTTAAATTAGTTTTTTTTCCACATCAGTCTACACTCCATACACCATAATGACAAAGCAAAGAACAGGTTTTTAACATCTTTGCGAATTTATTAAAGATATAAAACGTAAATGATTCCATTGCATTAGTATTCATACCCTTATCTGGGACAGTTGAAATTTGGCTCAGGAGCATTCATTTTGCTTGTAAATGTTACCACACTTTGAGTGAAGTTAACCTGTGGCAAATTCAATTGAATGGGTATGATTTGGAAAGGCACACATGTCTTAAAAGGTCTAACAGCTGAAAATGCATATCAGAGCAAAAACCAAGCCCTGAGGTAAAAAAAAATATATATATAAACTGCCTGTAGAGCTCAGAGACAGGATTGCATCAAACCACACATCTGGGATTTTGTTATGTTGCAGCCTTATGTTAAACTGCTTTAAATGACTTTTTCTCCCACATCAATCTACACTCCATACACCATAATGGCAAAGCAAATAACAGTTTTAAAGATAAAAAACTTAAAATGATTCCATTGCATAAGTATTCATACCCTTATCTGGGACAGTTGAAATTTAGCTCAGGAGCATTCATATCGCTTGTAGTCCTCAAAAACAGGACTGCATCAAGCCACACATCTGGGGAAGAGTTCAGAAAAAAATTCTGCTACATTGAAGGTTTGCAGAAGCATGTATTCTCCATTACTCGTAGTGGAAGAAGTTTGAAACAACCAGGACTCTTCCTAGAGCTGGCCTTCTGGCCAAACTGAGCAACTGATGGAGAAGGGCTTTGGTTAGTGTGGTGACCAAGAACCTGTTGGTCACTCTAGTTGAGCTCCATGATCATATGTGGAGATAGGAGAAACCTACAGAAGGACAAACATCACTGCAAAACTCCACCGATCTGGGCTTTATGGCGGTGTGGCCAAACTCAATCCTCTTCTCAGTGAAGATGCAAAAACGCACCTAAAGGACCCTCTGACGCTGAGAAACAAGATTCTCTGGTCTGATGAAGCTCAATTCCAAGCATCATCGTGTTTGAAGGAAACCAGGCACTGTTCATCACCTGCAGAGTAGCATCCCAAAAGTGTGCTGGTAGCAGCCTCATGCTGAGGGGCTGTTTTTCAGTGGCAGGGACTGAGGGACTCGTCAAGAGTAGAAGAAAAGCTCAATGCACCAAAATATTGAGATAGCCTTAATGAAAACCTAGTCCAGAGCATTCAGAACCTCTGACTGGGCAGAAGGTTTGCCTTCCAACAAGACAATGACCCTATGCGCACAGCAAGAGTGGCTTATAGACAACTGTGTGAATGTCCTTGAGTGGCCCAGCCACAGCCTGAGCTTGAACCCAATCAAACATTTCTGGAGAAACCTGAAAATGTGCATCTGTCCCCATCCAACCTGACCGAGCTTGAGAAGGGAAGAGATGAGACAAATTTCATTACACCAAATACACAAAATAATGTTCTTTTTAGCAACATCATATGACCCCTTTAATGAAAACCCAGTCCAGAGCATTCAGAACCTCAGACTGGGCAGAAGGTTCACCTTCCAACAGAACAATGACCCTAAGCACACAGCAAGAGTGGCTTATAGACAACTGTGTGAATGTCCTTGAGTGGCCCAGCCACAGCCTGAGCTTGAGATGTGCGTCTGCCCCCCTCCAACCTAACAGAGCTTGAGAGGTGAACAGGTGAGGTGAAGAATGACAGATAATTGCCAAATGCTGATGTGCAAAGCTTAACGCATCATACCCAAAAATACTTGAGGCTGTAAAGGTGCTTTAGCTAAGTACCGAGTTGCAATGTACTTTTCATTTTTTTTATTTATTTTTTTTATATAAATTTACAAAGTTGTGACAGTTCTGTTTTTGCTTTGTCATTATGGTGTATGGAGTGTAGATTAATGTGGAATAAAAAGTAATTGAAAGCAGTTTAACATAAGGCTGCAACATAAAATGTGAAAAAAATTAAGGGGTTTGAATACTTTCGCAAGGCACTGTATGTTCATTACCCAGCGGTATAAATGAACACATATATGTATGAATTTTAAATAAAAGAAATAAATATATATATATATATATATAGTGTGTGTTCTCTTTTTTTGACAGATATGAGGGTGAGTAATGGTGAACAGATTTTCAAATGATCTGTGTATTTGGACTGAGCAAATTTAGATATGTAAATGGTGATTCTCTGTTCTCTGCCACAGTGATATGGGCTAAATTCATTGTTACAAATTCATTGTTACACCTGGAAACTGAAATATCAAAGATACAATCCTTTTTTGTAAGCTATATTCAAAATTCCCTCAACCCCCTCAATTTAAAAAGACAGTCATTTAAAAACCTTCAAACTGTTTTATAGTGAGAAGCTCATTTTGATTGGTCTTTATTAGTTTAGTTTACCTCTCAGTTTTTAGGGCATTGCTGTCACGTGTAATTAGCTAAAGTACTTTAATGGTTTCATTACCTTGACATCACATGCATACAAACACAGATGCATGCACTAACGGCTTCATAATTTAATATGCATGTGCTGTAGACACCTCCGTAATAATTGATATGTTTACAGCAGTGTGATGCAGCACTGAACGTACTGAGCCACATCCTCTGTCTAACTTTGATATATGAATGGTAGCAATAAAAATCCTAGCCATCAGTCATTGAAAATATCTTCATCCATCATGGAATTTGTCATAACTGTCTGTTTTTAGTATTAAAGCGGTCATATAAGAGCTCATATAAATGTAAACTCCTGCACAGGTACCATATTAATCTACTTACCATGCACTACCTGGAGTCTCAGATGGTAACTGTTACTCCCTCTACATCTCTTCCTTTTTCTGTCAATCATCTCTGTAGGATCTGTCTGCACGTGGATCGGCGGCTCAGCTTCCCAAAGGTTATGACCCTGAGCCTCTCACTCAATATGGAACTCTCGACGTCATCTTCGACTACGATTCGTCTGACCAGCGTCTGTCCGTCACGATAACGGCGCTGACGGACATTCCTTCTCTCAAACACACGGGTAACATCTCCTGGCAGGTGCATCTGGTGCTGCTGCCCACCAAAAAACAGAGGGCCAAAACCATTGTCCAGCGTGGCCCCTGCCCCGTCTTCACAGAGACATTTCACTTCAGCCATATCGAGTCGGAGATGATCGGGAACTACGCCGTCCGGTTCCGCTTGTACAGCATCCGCAGGATGAAGAAGGAGAAGGCTCTCGGAGAGAAGGTGTTCTACCTCACCAAACTCAACCTGCAGGGCAAGATGTCGGTCCCCATCGTACTGGACCCCTGCTGCAACATACCTGTGAGGGTGATAAAATGTGAAAAACATGAATGTTTTTTCATGACAAATTATCAGCATAATGCACAAAAAGATATTAAAAATTAAATGTATATTTATACATCTATAGATGTATACAGCTAGATAGATAGATAGATAGATAGATATTTTTTAGATAAATTATATATACTACTGTTCAAAACTTTGGGGTATTTATTTATTTATTTTTTATATATTTATTTTTTTTAAAGAAATTAATTCTTTTGTTCAGCAATGATGCATTCAATTTATCAAAAGTGACACTAAAAACAAATATTATAATGTTACACATGATTTATATTTTAAATAAATGCTGGTTTTTTTAATTACTTTTCAGTAATCAAATAGTACTGAAAAAATGTGTCATGGTTTCAAATAATAATCAGGACAACTGTTTGACTGATAATATTTTTATTATGAACATTGATAAGGAGAAGAAATTACTCTTGAGCACCAAAACAGCATCTTAAAATGATTTTTTGATGGATCATGTGACACTGAAAACTGGAAAAATGACTAATGAAAATTCAGCTTTGCCAAATATATAAATATATATATATACACACACACACAATATTACTGTATATTGAAGTGTGTATATATACTGTATATACAGTATATATATAGAGAGAGAGATACATACATATTGTGTGTGTGTGTATATATATATATTTATATATTTGGCAAAGCTGAATTTTCATTAGTCATTTTTCCAGTTTTCAGTGTCACATGATCCATCAAAAAATCATTTTAAGATGCTGTTTTGGTGCTCAAGAGTAATTTCTTCTCCTTATCAATGTTCATAATAAAAATATTATCAGTCAAACAGTTGTCCTGATTATTATTTGAAACCATGACACATTTTTTCAGTACTATTTGATTACTGAAAAGTAAAAACTTTTATTTTGGATGTGATTAATCACGATTAATCTTTTGACAACACTAATATATATAAATTATAATTATATATATAAATAATTATATATTATTAAAATGAAAAGTTAACCAAAGATTTTGTGTGTGTCCCAGGGCAGTGACTCTCAGGCAAGCGTGTCAGACGTATCGTGCAGCGAGACGGCCTCGTCGTTCCCATCTGCTGGTCAGGGGTCGGCTCCTGAGATCCTGCTGGGGCTTGTGTACAACGCCACTACAGGACGTCTCTCTGTGGAGGTCATCAAAGGAAGCCACTTTAAAAACCTGCCAGCAAATAAACCTCCCAGTGAGTCCAAAAGCTGTTTAACATGATTGCTTTAGATAGCCATTCCATAGCCATCAGATCAGTATTGCATTTGCTGTATCATCTTACATAAGGTTTGTAGGATCAAATAGTGTCATCTCTCACCTTTGACCCCAAAGGTGCTTCCTCTTTCTTTCCCTCTCCATAATTTTCTGTCACCCTTCTGATAAATGACCTCCTAACCTTCCCAAAGTTTCCGTCACACTTCAGTCAAAGAGCACAATATAAGAGCCTTCAGAAAGCACTCATAACCGCTCATAAATACCATCATGTCATGAAACAACATTCACCCTATGGTTTCAGATAGCGTTATGAAACGTGATGAAGGCTGCATGTTTCACTTATGCATTGGCCCTTAACCTGAAGTGATGCTGTGTGCTTTATGAACACGTTACATCTGACCTAATGTGATGTCATTGGACCTTCAGACCTTCTGACCTGCTCTTTTTCTCCTGCTGTTGTTGATATTCTCTCTCTTTCTCCCTGATGTCTGCCCATCCCCTCTGCTCTTGCTGTCACTCCTCTCCTGTTGTCAGACAGTTTGTTCTGTTGTCTAAAGCACTTGATAGGTGGGCAGGTGTACATAATCCGAGGTGAGTTTTCTGTGGCTACCTTTATCAATATCGGATGCTGTTCATCCATCTTTCTGTTTTCACGCTTCCTCTCTTCATTATCGATCCTTGGTGTTAGACTGGCGAACACTTCTACATGGATGCTGAAGGTTTGAGCACAAATTAGTGTAAAACTCGATACAGAAGGAAGATTCAGAAAACATTTGATATATGTTATCCATTCAGTCTTCATCCATGGAGAAGGTTAAAACGCTGTTATTTTAGACGTTATGTTGGATGGTTATTTTCTGTCCTTTATAGTGATGTTTGCATGCGTCCCGTAACCATGTGTCTTTTTTTCTTTAATGTTTGGGTTTTTTTCAATACATTTACTAGATCATTTGCTTGGATCATTTGAATATTTCAGTCGTGTGACTGTTAGTTGTCAGAAAGATGTAGAAATCTTTGTAGACTTGTTGCCATGTGAGCGGCTCTTCTGTGTTTGGAGACTGTGGAAAATGTGAGAATTTTTTTTAACAAAATATATTTTTGGGGCTCTCACTGCTAACTTAAGATATTAATTAAATATGTTTAAAACACTTTTTTTATTTTTCCTGATTCCTTTTTCTTTTTCAGTTATTATTATCATTATTATTCAATTTAATACATATTTATTATTATATTTATTTGAATAATAATCTAATAATAATAATGTGATATTTTAATATTTTGCTTTGGATTTATTTCAGTGACAACAATTATGTAAATAGTTTGTGATCTTTCGATCTTGCTTCATTAAAATTATTTTTTTATGAAATATAACTTTAAAATGGCTTTAAAATATATAATAGCTTTAATATTTTGGGTAGGAGATGCATTGCATGGGCATCGTCATATTTGGGATACAAAAACTGCAAAAAGGAAAATGCTGCTGTACATATATACAGTAGATATATGTACAATCCTTAGGATTGCACATATGTACAATGTGCAATCCTAGTGCAAAAATATGAAAGTAATTGTCTATAAATAACTTTAGCAATTCAAATGACCAGAATTTTAGGCAATGGGACATAGTGTAGACTACTAGAAGTTGATTTCTATGGCTGTGACGGAAGTGTTCAGATTTCTGCATAACTGCATCACAGAGTCTAATCAGCCCTCTTAACTGTTAATGAAATCCTTTCACATTCAGCTTGAGGAGCTGGAGATGATTTCCTCAGTGTCAGGTATGAGTCTTTGTTCCCATCTCTGAAATCAGCGCTTCTTTAGCTCGGCTCTTCTATAAGTTGGAAAAATAGAGGAGAGTGAGGGCTTTCTTGAAAACGCAGCAGGATAACTCCACAGGAAGCCCGCACTCGATGACTCGTGGAACAGAAGCAAAGACACAGAGAATACCAACGTCTGTTGTATTGTAGTGTATTCAGGCAGGCCAGCAGAAAGCACGCTCAGAGGAGTTCAACTGCGCTCTGAATTAAACCTCGAGCTACTGCAGAGTCTGCTCTCAATGCATCTGTAGAGTCACAGTTCAAAAGGTTCTGAAAGGAGAAGACAGGGGAGTGATGCGACTCAATTATTAATCAGTGAGCATTGATTCGTGCCGAGCGTTAATGCAAAAAAGAAACTGAATAGCCCATTTTCAGCCAATAAATTTCATCCTGTATTAATGAATGGAATAATCAATTGCTTTTGAGATAAATTGAGAGACTGAAGCATTGCCATGTTGGAACTGTAGTGTTGAAAACCTCCATGCTGGCAGAGGAACTGCACCACAATGTTATATCCTGTTACTTAATTTAACGTCCCAACTTCCGAACCTACAATTCTTGTAATAGTATTATCTTTTTCTAATTTATTTCTCCCAGCTCAAAACCTATTGTTTATTATATTGTATTTTTGATTTTCCATTTTTCAAATGTGTATTTTTGTCTTTGTGTGTAGTTTTGCAGTAAAAAAAAAAAGCCTTAAACAAGATATATTTATTTTATATAACTGTTTTTTTTTATCTTGTCACTAATAGCTTTTTTCTTGTTTTTAAGAATAAATCTAACAAGACTCTGTGAGATTTACCATTAAAAAAATCCCAATCGGGTAAAAATAAATAATTGCATATATTATATTATATTATATTATATTACTATATTAGAATATACTTTATTGTCCCATTTCTGGAAAATTCATCTTGGACAACCATGACATGGCCAGTACATAACATTAAACTCACATATCACAGAACAACAACAATAAATTACACATAACCTAATATATTAAAAAGCTACAGTATGCCAAACAAACCCCTCATTTTTGCAATTCTCTGTTATATAATTTAACAGCAGTTGGCACAAAATAATTTTTACCATATCTTATCAAACTCTCAAAAACAGACTGATAGAACAGAAATAAAATCCATTGATTTACCCCAAATTCTTTTAACTTTCGCAAAAAAATATAACCTCTGCTGCAGTCTTTTATATATTATATTATATTATATTATATTTATTTTCTTTCTTAATAGACTTAATATTGTAGACTTAATATATAAATAAAAAAATATTTGAATATTTAAAAGACATTTTTACTGGAAAACAAAATCAAAATCCTGATTAGGAAAATGTTTGTAAGGAAGTGCTAAGGAAAGTCATTTCAAATTTCTCATGATCAAATCAAGTTTAGTCTTCTTGACTAATCTGATCCTAAATGTTCTCTGATTGACATCCTGTTTCAGACACGTACGTAAAGCTGACTCTACTGAACTCAATGGGTCAAGAGATGTCCAAGTGCAAGACGTCCATTTGCCGAGGCCAACCCAACCCCACCTACAAGGAGACCTTTGTGTTCCAAGTAGCTCTGTTCCAGCTCTCCGACGTCACGCTCATCCTGTCGGTCTACAACAAGCGCAGCATGAAACGGAAGGAGATGATTGGCTGGATCTCTCTGGGGCTGAACAGCTCTGGGGAGGAGGAGCTGACACACTGGACACAGATGAAGGAATCGAAGGGACAACAGGTGTGTCGATGGCACAGTCTTTTGGAGTCCTAGAATGTCAACAAGTGATGTCAATGATGTGTGTAATGGCGTGGGTGACAGAGAGCAGGTCATGCCCTCGAACGGCCCCAAGATGACAGAGCTGGCCCTCACTGCAGTGCATTATGAGAAATGCGAGTAGTTCTGGGGATGTAATCTGCTCTCCTTCCCAATGCACTGTGGGAAACAGGTTAGAGAAAATGGTGAGAACAGGGTTAGAGATGCCACACCGTTAATGGAGGAAACGCTATTGAGACAGACTTTTATGTTTATTTCGATATTTATTTGTATATTTTTTGACTTGATGTTTCTATTTTGTTCAGCTTAATATGGGGTTATGGTGTTTAAGGCACAGTAAGAGAGAAAGAATAATTGAATATATGTGTGAGATCCAGACGTGAAAGATCTACAGAGATGAGACGAGTTCAAATATCTTAGCTCAGATTATAACTGGTGTCCTAAGATTACTTTACTCAGACCTACCAAAGTTGTACAGGGGTACAATTACTGTCAGGTTGACTAGATGCCATTCTGAGGCATTTTAATGGAAACTCTGACAGATGTCTGGGTTTCTCAACATGTGATCAGATTTTCTAGATTGTGTTCTTATTTAGTTCAGGATTTAGTTAATTCCACTTTGAAATGTACTATACAGTAAGATGGCCAATCCAGACTTCACCACACATAGCCTGTCATCCAGTGTTATGTGTCCGCTATTTTATTCCCCTCATTCTGAATTTAATACTTGGATCAGAAACACCACAAAACAAACAGAATTTTTTTTTTTATTTCATTCTCAATATAACATTAACAGCCAATAAGGCTAGAACTTTTGTTTTAACTATACTTTTCTTGAAACACATTAATATAATAATATATTTATAAATCTTTATAAATATAATAATACCTATATAATAAAAGTATGAATTATTATGTAAAAAATATAAAGTATATCAATTATTTGTTTACATATACAATCATGATATGAAAAGCATTATAAAACATAAAAAAATAAAAAATAAAATCTACTGGAAACCCTGTAAAACAGAAGCATTTCCTTGTTTATGTTTTATTTATTATATTTTAACATACATTATAGAAGAAATCCCTTAAATCCCTTCAAATCTTTTAATAAAGTAATATAATGTCAATACAAAATTGGTGATAATCAAATTATATAATATTGTCCAAAATGTTTTATAGCACTTTTAATAAACTAATACCCTTATAATAAAAGTATGTAATTTATTATGTAAAAAATATAAAGTATATCAATTATTTGTTGACAAATACAATAATGATATGAAGCGCATTAAAAACTTTTTAAAAATCTACTGTACATGGAAACCCTGTAAAACAGAAGCATTTCCTTATTTATTTTTATTATATTTTAACTATACATTATAGAAGAAATCCCTTAAATACCTTCGAATCATTTTAATAAAGTGATATAATGTCAATACAAAATTATTCAATACTGACCTGACCATAATATTTTCAAGGCCTGTGTAAAGGCCTGTTCACACCAAGAATGATAACTATAAAAACTATATTAGTGTCCGCACCAACAGACTATAACATACGTTATGTTAATGCAATGACAAATGAGATTTAAAACACCATTCCTGATGAAGAACAATGAGCACATGCATCATCAGCTCTTACTTCGACTTTAGAGTCAAATCTGTGACTGTTCTGAATCGTGAGAACATTACGAAACCGTTTTTGAATAGTTTCTAACATGGTGAAATGAAGGCTGCATTAAGTTGATGTGTAATTGCCATACTTTTACAAAAGACTGTTCCCTCTTATCGTTTGTATTGAATTCGTCTTGCGATCCTGACTGTTCAAATTTAGTACTTAACACTACTGCAACACTAGAGATGGAGAATGCCAGTGTTCTGGCTGAAAGTCCTGTAGAGGACCAGTGATGAAACGGTGAGGATGGTTAGAGTATGTGACAATAGGAGGCTTCTCAGTGCTTTTGCTCTGTCTTTACAAGTGTCCTGATCTCTGTGCGGTCAACCTGTGAAATCTGTCTTGAACTAGTTTCTTTCCTTTCTTGAGCGATGGTCAAACTCACTCAGTGATTGTTATGTACTGTAAATGGCACATAGGTTTTGCTGATCTATTTTTGTATCTATATATCTGAGAAAATGGACTCACTTTCTTGGTAAATGTGTGAAGCTCTATGAGCAGTATGGAGTTGTAGACTGTGTTCTACTTTCACAGTTCAGTTGCTTTTCATTCTCTTTGGTTAAAAGAACTGTTTTATTAGTGAATGTGTCACTCATTCAGTGTGCCGTTTCAAAATATGACCAGATAAATGTTCAAAAACAAACACAAAAAAACGTCTTCACCTTCTCGTCCGTTAAAGTCTTGCAGGTTGATAGAAAAAAGTGTGTGAGACAAGGGGAGTGTTTGTTCAGTGTGATGTTACATACTGTCATATGTATTCTTAGCTTTGCTAATGTGGTCATTTCAGGTGATGATACTGTATATGAATCTGTTTTACTCCCCTCCTTAAAAGAGAGAAAAGTCAGGTATGGCAAGTAGCTGGAGTCTTTGAGCTGGTATGTTTTGTAAGACCAGAATTAAACATATTTTTAATGTGAAACACATCTTGTGAAAGAGTCTCAGACTGTGATGGTCCTCAGAGAGTAACAGCTGGACAATATCTCCCTTACAGACCAAGTCCCATGAAACACAGCTGGGCTGAGCTTTCCCTCTCACGCTGGGACTGGGAGATGTTCTCAGTTTCTTCTTGGCAAACTGAGTAAACAGTTGTAAACAAAATTTTGTTCCATTCTGTCAACTTTTAAGCCTGAGAAAATGCCACAGCTGTCAAAATTACAATGACAGAATACAGCACAATGTTGAAATGTAGGATGTTAAATGCATTATGACTAGAAAACAGCTGTGTCACAAACTGACACAGAGAGGCTGTTATATCTCACTCGTGACAGTTTTATTAGGGGCTTGGCGCACTGTTGCCTCACGCAGATATGGCTTCCAAATTATTTTCCCGCTATAGAATCTCATTGCAGCTACAGTAAATCAGTAAAATAGGTTGGTTACATGGCTCTGCCGGCCTGCAGTCCCTCAGACTCAACCCTCCCAGTAGCTTCTGACCAATCTATCTTTAAAGGGATATTCCACCTTAGATATAACATTTAGTTGTCAGTTACTCACTCTCATATTGTTCTAACGCTGCATTATTTCATGAAATTCAATTTGAGATGTTAGGCAGAATGTCCAAGCTGCACTTTTCCACATGATTTGTACTCCCATGCTCCAAGACTTCTAAGTCTTCTGAAACTATAGTTTGTGTGGAACAGACCAGAATTGATTATTAGTCAACACTGGCTTAAATCATGGCCTGTTCCACACACAAACCTATCATATGCTACTTTAAAAGTTTGGAGTCAGTAAGATTTTTGTTTTTGAAAGAAGTCTCTTATGCTCATCAATGCTCCAAGTATTTGAACAAACAAAAGGAATACAGTGGAAAAAAATGCAGTGAACTCATTTAAAATTATTTTTTTCTATTTTGATATATTTTAAAATATATTTCTGAGATGGCAAAACTGAATTTTCAGCAGACACACCAGTCTTCAGTGTCACATAATCCTCACACAGCTGGGCTGAGCTTTCCCTCTCACGCTGGGACTGGGAGATGTTCTCAGTTTCTTCTTGGCAAACTGAGTAAACAGTTGTAAACAAAATTTTGTTCCATTCTGTCAACTTTTAAGCCTGAGAAAATGCCACAGCTGTCAAAATTACAATGACAGAATACAGCACAATGTTGAAATGTAGGATGTTAAATGCATTATGACTAGAAAACAGCTGTGTCACAAACTGACACAGAGAGGCTGTTATATCTCACTCGTGACAGTTTTATTAGGGGCTTGGCGCACTGTTGCCTCACGCAGATATGGCTTCCAAATTATTTTCCCGCTATAGAATCTCATTGCAGCTACAGTAAATCAGTTAAATAGGTTGGTTACATGGCTCTGCCGGCCTGCAGTCCCTCAGACTCAACCCTCCCAGTAGCTTCTGACCAATCTATCTTTAAAGGGATATTCCACCTTAGATATAACATTTAGTTGTCAGTTACTCACTCTCATATTGTTCTAACGCTGCATTATTTCATGAAATTCAATTTGAGATGTTAGGCAGAATGTCCAAGCTGCACTTTTCCACATGATTTGTACTCCCATGCTCCAAGACTTCTAAGTCTTCTGAAACTATAGTTTGTGTGGAACAGACCAGAATTCATTGTTCACTGATAACCAGAGCTCATCATATCTATAAAAGTGCTATTTGTTTTTACAATGAATAGAAACATTTATTATTATTATCCATGTTGAAAACAGTTGTGCTGCTTAATGGTTTGTTGCTCATGATTTTTAAATTTAAAAGAACAGCTTTTAATGGAATTCTATATTTTTTAGTAACAATGTAAAAATATTTATTTTAACCTTTTATAAATTTAATGCATCCTTGCTGAATAAAAGCATTCGTTTCTTTAAAAAAACGTAGTTACCCCAATCTTATGCAAAAATATATGTCTTTAGAAGACTTGGAATATAGCATAATATAGGACTGCTTTTATGATGTTTAAGGTGTTTTTTTTTAGCTTGGTCATATAAATCACCAGCTACTTTCATAATTTACAAAATAATTATATTTAACTTAAAAACAAAAAATTAATATGGCATCTGAACAACATGAGCGTGAGTGAATAATGACAAGATTTTCATTTTATTAGGACCTAGAAAATGTTATAATTCTAGTTTTAGAATTCTCAAACTACTTTAGCCCGAGCAGATTCTGCTGATCTGACTGAGGTGTCTTAAGGAGAGTCGTTTCTTTACAGTTTGACAGATGAAACAGCATTTTCTCTTATAATGTTTAATGTGTGTGAATGAGTCTTTCCAGTGCCTGATAAAAGCACACAGCTGTCACAGCTCCTCTCCCATAAGATTTTTCCACGGCTCTGCAGTAGTCTGTATGTGAGAAGATGTAAGTATTTAGACAACAGACGCGTGACGGTCATTTAAAGAACCCATCTTATTCTGAACTCAGCGTCAGGGCTTCTGTTCAGTTTACAGAACCAATAAACCAGCATAAAGACGTTTTAGGATTTATTGCACAAGAAGCATAGCACAAACTCTCCCTGTGCTCTCTCTGTGTCCCGACGTGATTCAGGTCTAACATGCCACTGACACCTTCAACTTTCACAAGGTGTGTTCCAACTCAACCAGTTTTAAACATTTTATACATGTTTTGAACATTGTGTGTTTATATTCAGTTTTCAGTTTATTATCAAAATGCTTTAAATTAATTGCCTATATGCCCACCGATTCAGTCGGTGCCTTACTTTTCTCTGGAGAATGTTTTTATGATGTTTTTGAAATGTTGCAGCGATGTTGTGTCACCTTGTGTATTCATACTTCTGTACAACCGCTGTAATTTGATTTGTAAATGAAGTCTTACACGATACATTAAAAAGATGCATTTGTATGTGATTCTGTTTTGAAAAGAAACACATCTGCTAACTGTCTTTGTCTGCCTGTTTTTATTCCAATGAGTGCAAGATTGTCTTGAGGAAATTCAGGATTAGGTTTTAGTCTTGCTTACAATGTCTTATGAAATATGATGTTAGAGCCCAAAGTTGAAGAAAAATTTCAGCTTTTATAATACTAATGATGCAATAAATATTTTATGCTCAGGTACATACACTGTAGTGTTATACATCTTATGTTAATCTTATATTTTAACAGGTATTAATTTATTTTTCAATATTTTTATATTTAGTGTAAGAGGTCAACAGGCAGCAAAGGGAAAAAC